CAACCTGTAATTGTGGCTTTGTTTATTTCAAACTTTTTTATTAGTACGTGTTTATGATACATAATGAATACATTCATTGTGGGGAGTTGGTACATATACAAATCACACCTTAATCTTTTTACTTTCCCTTCCCTCCTTCCTCTCATCCTCCCTCTCTTGAGCTCCTTTCCATTTGCAAAAGATCTACCTCTTTATTTCCTACTATCTGTCTTTTATTTTGTTATATATTTATATTGTGGGTTTCTTATATGAGAGAAATCATGTGATATTTAAGCTTGTGTGTCTGATTTATTTCACTTAACATTGTGGATTCAAGATGCACCCATTTTTCTCTACCACTGACTCAAGTTTATTCTTCTTTATGGCAGAGTAGTGCTCCATTGTGTATAAATACTACATTTTCTTTATCCATCTGTTGATGGACCTATAGGCTGCTTCCAAGATTTTGTTACCATGAATTGTGGTGCTATAAACACGGGTGTGCAAGTATCATTGTAATGTGATATCTTTAACTCTTTTGGGAAGACACCTAGAAGGAGAATAGTTGAAGCAAATTTTATTAAGCCAAACCTTCAATTATTATTTAGATATTTGGTATTGGATATTGTAGATAATCTAGTTGGAAATATAGGTTTTTTTCCCCATGCAAGTAAAAAGTTTATTGATGGGAGCTTTGAAGCCAGAGGAAATGTTCTTGTCCATAGAAATGCAAGGATTTCCAGAAGTGCTGCCCTTGTCATATAATAACACATAATGGAAAAACTTGGAGTGAAAGTATGGCCATATATATATTTATGTTTAAGAAAGAAGATTTGGGGCTGGGGTGTGGCTCAGTGGTTGAGCACATGCTTAGCATGCTTCAGGACCTAGGTTCTGACCCCAGCACCAAAAAATAAAAGCAAGATGTTGTATTAATCTTTATGCTGAATTTGTCCATTGACTTTTGCACTATGAGGCTATTATCCTAGCAAAATTAACAACACAGGGCATGTCACTACTTCAGACAGAAAGGTCATTATCTGATCATTCTTGTACCATAGGTAGTTTGAAGAGAATATATGAAGCTGATGATTTTGGAAACATGGAAGTGATGGCTTCATAGAATGTTTGATTCAAGAGGAATATTATAGGGGGCATGAATTTTTCTTTGTAAAGGAGAAAATTTTAAAATACTATTGATAACAGTAATGTAAAATAGTAAAAGCACACATAGCATCTTTTCAATTATATATTGCTTCCAGACTTGTTTCTCTGATTTGTTAAGTAAACTTTTAGGGAGATGTTAGACTTCCAAAATAGATGGCACTGATGGTTTTCTTCTGTCGTTCAATATTTTATAATTTACTATAAACTAAGAATTTTGACCTGAAAAATAATTTACATGCTATTAAATCCATCCTTTTAGTATTGCCTTAATCCATTTTCTGATGCTTTAAGGAATACCCAAGGCTGGCCACTATAGTAAAAGATAAAGGTTTATTTTGGCTTCTGGTTCTGGAAGTCCCACAGCAGGGCACTGGCATCTGTTTAGTCTCTGGAGAGGGTCTTATTTTGTTTCCATCAGAGTAGGAAAGAGGAAGAAAAGGGGATGTGTGAAGAAATCACATGGTAAGAGAGAAAGCAAGTGAAGACCATCAAAGTTGAATTTGTTTATTTTTTATTTATTTATTTTTTGTGTGTGTTACTGGGCATTGAACCCAAGGCTTTTGCACCGAGCTATACCCCCATTTATTTAATTTTTTTTCTTTTGAGACAGGATCTTGTTAAATTTCTAAGTTTTCCAGGCTGTATTTGAACTTGTGATTCTCCTGCCTCAGCTTCCTAGACTGCTGGAATTATATGCGCACACCCACATGCCCAACTGAACTCACTTTATAACCACTTTCTTGGTAACTAGTCAAAATCTGCAAGAATAAGAATTCTCTCTTTCCAGCATCATTAATCTATTTCCTCTGCCATTATAATGTGATCACAAAGTCCCAATCTCCCAGCACTGCTGTATGGAGGAATTATGCCTAAATATGAGTTTTGGTGGGGACAAATAACATCCAAACCATAACAAATATACAGTTGCTTGGTTTTTAGCATGTTCCCAAAGTTGTGCAACCATCACCATTATTTAATTTTAGGACATTTTGATCACCTTAAAAAAGAAACTTCATGCTCTTTAGTCCTTTACCTCTTTCTCCCAGCTCCTGGAAACTATTAATCTGCTTTCTGTATCTATTGATTGGCTTATTCTGGACATTTCCCATAAAGAGAATGGTCTTTTGTGACTGGCTTCTTTCTCTTAGTATAATGTTTCAAGGTTCATCTGTCTTATTTCCTTTTGTTGTCAAATAACATTCTATCTGTGAATACTGATTTCATCCTTCCAGTCATCATTTAATGGACATTTATACTGATTTTCACTTTTTGGCTATTACGAATTGTGTTGTTATGAACATCTGTGTTCAAGTTTTGGTATATACATATGCTTTTCAATTTTTTTTGTTACATACTTATGAGTGAAATTGCAGGGTCATAGGAAAACTGTTTAACATGTTGGGAGACTAATAAACTTTTCTACAGCAACTGCACCATTTTATATTCCTCTCACCAGGAAAACAAGGGCTCCAGAGGTTTCATATCCTCACCAACACTGGTTATAGATGCCTTTTTATTTTAGCCATCCTATTTGATGTGAAATAGTATCTCATTATGGTTTTCATTTTCATTTCCCTAATGATTAATGATGAACATTTTTTTTTTTTGGTACCGGGAATCGAATTCCAGACCTTGTGCTTGTGAGGCAGGCAGGGGCACCACTGAGCTAAATCCCTGGTCCTAATGATGAACATTTTAAAAAAAGTTTACTGGCCATTGCTTTATCTTCTTTGATGAAATACCTATTTAAATATTTTGTCCACCTCTTTAAATAAAATTTTTTTCTTCTCAGTACCGGAAATCAAATTTAGGACCTTGCACTTGCCAGGGAGGCGGTGCACCACTGAGCTACATCCCCAGCCCTTAGGTTTTTGTTTTTAAAGTAGTTGAGATTCATGGAAATTCAAGGTCAGGGGCAGAGAATTCCCAAATTCTCAAGCAGCCTTCCGAGCAACCAACATCTCCACCTCAATTCCACATTTGTCACTCTTCAGGAGACTATATGGATGCATCTTTATTATTCAAATTCTACAGTTTACCTAAGGGTTCAATCTTGGTGATGCAGATTCTATAAGCCTGAAAAAGTGTATAATGACATGTATTCAGCATTATAACTTCCTACAGAATGTTTTTACTGTGCTAAAACCCTCTGTGCTCTGCATGTTCATTTCTCACTTCCCCAAACTCTTGGCAACTACTGATTTTTTTTTTCACTGTCTCCATAGTTTTGCCAGTTCCAAAATGTTATATAGTTGGAATCATACAATATATAGCCTTTTCAAGTTGGCTTACTTCATTTAGTAATATGCATTCAACTTTTCTCCATATCTTCTCATGATTCCATAGCTTATTTCTTTTTAGTGTTGAATAGCATTGTATTCACTTATCCACTATTCACTTATACCTACTAGACTACATCTTGTTTGCTTCCAAGTTATTCCAAGTATGAATAAAGCTACTATAAATCGACTATGCAGGTTTTTATGTCAATATGATTTTTAAGCTCATCTGAGTAAATACCAAGGAGCACAACTGCTACATCACATGGTGAGAATCTTTTTAGTTTTGAAAGAAATTGTCAAATTTTCTGTCAAAATGGCTGTGCATTTTGTTTTTCCCTCAGTAATGAATGAGTTATTTGCCTTCCTTCCCCTCTCTCCCTTTTTTCTTTCCCTTCTCTTCCCTCTCCTCCCCTCTCATCCTTCCCCTTCCCTCCCTCTTGCCTCTTTTCTTCTTTTTTCTTCCCTTCTCTCCCTGATAAGGTCTCACTGTGTATTCCAGGCTGGTTTCAAACTTGAATCCTCCTGCCTTGGCCTCTCGAGTGATGAGATTACAAGTGTGTGCAACCATGCCTACCTAATTTGTCTTTTTTGTTGTTGAATTTAAGTTTTATGTATATAATCTGGTCACAAGTCCCTTAATTTTGATTGCTGTGTTCCTTCAATTTCTTTCGATTTTGATGTCTCATTTGCATTACTTGTGGCTACATGAGAGAAGCATTCTCTTGTTCTAAATGTCATGGAATGTCGGGGAGCTGGGAAATTAGTGATATTCCTCCAGGATCATCTGCAAAGAAATATAACTAAAGTTCTTTCTGATTCTATGGATCTACCTCCTTAGAGGCAAAGGTGGGAAATTTATAGTTAATCATTATGAATATAAATTAATGGTTCAAATTTTCCAGGTTTCTAAGCTAGTTAGAGTAAGATCAGGTAATTTTAGCTGCATTTGGACCAAAAAAATAAAAAAAAAGAAAGAAAGAAAGAAAAAAAGCATCCATTCTTATTCAGTGGATTTGTCTAATGAAATATTTACCGTTTACACGCTTATATAAGTCCTGAAAAAAAGTCAATAAAATTTATATATTCTTATTAAGCATTCCTAGGCGATAGTAAATTAAGAGGGGAAGCTCTGACCAGTGATTCGAACAGTTTTCTGAAACTCAAAAACCAAGCAACTCTTACTATCTGTCATAGAATGTTAGAGATCAAGAATAGGAAAAGATTTAAAAAGGGAGTTGCATTTTAAAATGAAAAGGCCACAGGAAATGGCATTGTAAATGACACCGAAAGAGGACAAATGCCTGTACAGTGTAGAACGCTGCAAAACCGCTACCTCCTCCCAGGCTCCCACAGATGATTTTGGGAAGGCTCCACCTCTAGGAACAATTTCACTGGGCTCAGTCACCCGGGTCCCCGCCCTGTCCCCTTCCGCTTGCGCACAACTAGCCTACCTACCCCACTCAGTAGTTTTGTCGCCGCCCCGCCCCCGAATTCTCATCTCTGATTGGTCTATTTTATGGAACCGCCCTACTGCTCGAACCAATGTGGAGGCCGCTAGAGTGCTCCGCCCTCTCTGCGGGCAGCATGGAGCTGAGTTCTTTGCTAACAAGGCGGCGCGTGGGCATGGCGGCTGCAGCGTCTACTGCCGGCCGGCTGCTGAGGCTCGGCGCTGTCCGAGCTGAGGGGCACTGCCGTCGGCTGCGGCGTGCGGGTCTGGAGCGGGGCTTTCTGCAGCCTACCTCAGCTGGCAAGGATGCGGCTCAGAAGCGGCACGTGGCTCACTTCACTTTCCAGCCGGACCGGGAGTCCCAGGAGCACGGTGAGCCGGGGGCTGGCTGTCCAGTCCTGCTGCAGCCCGTACTCCCAGGCGCAGTCCCGCTCTGCTCCAGAACCCCCTTGCCTAAGGGTCTGTTAAAATTCTTTCCTTGCTCAGTTTTCGGTGACTGGAGATCGTCAGTTCTTCGGCACCTTTGAGATAGGTGAGAGAGCACATCGCCCTCTGGAAGGGCCTGAAGGTGGAGAGGTGGTGCCCAAGGAACCCTTAAGGTACCTTTCTCTGGCCTTCATCCCTGCTTTCCCAGCCCAGGTCTTAGGTGTTGTTGTGACTTGCTCGGGACTGGGCCACTAACTTTAGGCAGTGACATTTAAAAAGACAGGATATTTTTTTTTTCCATTTTCTTTTGATAAGTAGGAAAAAACTGAGGGACTAAGTAACAGAATTGTTTTACCCAAGGTCACAGAACAGGTTCTTCCTAGAAATGGGAAAAAAAAATATCCGGGTTTGCTGTTTGAGCCTAGTCCTTAGCTGTGCTGGCAATGCTGCGGCTTAGCTGAGGAGTAATCACGCAGGTGATGGGAAGAGGATGCCATTGGAAGGGCCCGTGGCAAACTTCGTGTGGTATGACTGTTCCACGACTTTTACCAGTTATGCAAGCATTATAATCTCCTGAAGATCCATTGTCTGTCTCCAGAATATCAGGAAATGGTATGCAGACATTCCTGTTTCTTGTCTAGTAACTTCTCACTTGCTAGGGCTGTCATTTTTGAAAGTATGTCTTGTGAATAACAAGAGTGAACATTTATTGAATATTTACCCTTGGAAGGCACCATACTGAGAAACATATTCATTATCTCATTTCATGATTAGGACAGCCTTAAAAGGTAGGTAATATTTTTATTCCCATTTTGCAGTTAGGATAACTGAGGTCTCCAGATAGTTTTTCCAAGGTTACATGGATAAGTAAGTTAGCAGTTGCTCCAGCTTTGGAATCTAGTTAGCCACATTCCAGAGTTGCTATCTTAAAGACAGTAGTAATGCATGTAGAAACAATGTACTGAGAGGATGTTCCAGTTTTGTGACATAGCCGATACCAAAAAATGAATAGCAGCTTTTTTCACCAAGATGAACCCTGAATTCCATCTTTACAGCAACGAACATTGGCCCCAGTGCTTGAGAAATAGAGCACAGGTCTTCTTAATCCCCTTTCTGCAATTGTGCAATTACTAAGATCTTAGTGATACCACATTTATATGTTGCTATAAAAATAATACAAACATTTCAGATAATTTGCATCATAGGAAAGTAAAAAAATGTAGTTTCACCACTCATTACAGCAAATATACTAACATTTTGGAGTGGATCTTTCCAGTTTAAATGTATTCGTGTACCTGTAGTTTTAATACAAGTGTAATTTGCATTATTTAATCAGAAACATTTTTCCTTAAGGCTATATTGTTTTTATAGCCTTCTGTCGAATTTAAAAAGACATATTCCAGAGCAGAGACACTACAATTCAGTAGGTAGAATCTGATTTTCATGGGTTTTGTCTTGTCCCTGCCATCTGACTTTAGGTTATCACTTATCCGCTAAAAGCCTCAGTTTCTTTATAAGTAAGAGGTTAATCATAATACCTACTTCAGAAGGTAGTTAGAGCTACATAGATAATATTTGTAATATACTTAATACACAGTTTGATAACTAACAAGCACTCAGTAAATGGAAAGTTTTAGTAATTGCCATTATGTTTTTATTGTAACAGTTTTGTAATGTTACAAGTAATGCAGATATAAGTTCGTCATAGGTATGGCTTTTATGCCTTTTGAGACTGTTTCTTCAGGATAGAGCTCTAGAGGTGAAATTTCTGATTTAAAAATGCAAATATTTTAGTGGGTTTATAATGCATAGTTTGTAACTCATCTATATGAGAGTTTATAATAGTTATAGTAAATTACAGTGGTGGTAAACCTATAGCATGAGTGCTACTGTGGGCTGTTTGTATTGTTGAAATCTCTAAAAGGTTTTCCATCACTGGATAAGAATATATAAGAATGTATTAGGTGTTGATGCTAAAATCATGGGTACACACACACACACACACACACACACACACACACTAGTATTTTGTGCTAACTGACTTAGTTTTAATTTGCATTTGTTTCATTTCTATTGAGTTTTTTTCTATATATTTGTTCTCTAGATTTATTTTTCTTTGTTAATTGAGCATTCCATGATTTTTCATATTTAAAAATTGTACCCTTAGTATTTTTCCTATCAGTCCTAGTACAGTGCTGAGTGACTATTTCAGGTGTTTTGGTAGACATCAGTCCTCACCAAAACCTTGTGAAGTAGATAGACTAGATAGTCTGTCAGGGAAGAATTAAGGCTCAAAGATGTTAGTGGCCTCCCCAAATCTGGTAAATAGCCGGGCCAGAATTTTGAACCTCAATGTATCTTACTCCAAAGCTTCCCAAACATCTTATATACTCAGATTTTGTATAGTGAAGACATTAATGAAGATAATGTCTACTCTTCACCTATGGTTCAAATACTTTTCATTCTTCTAGTTTGTTTTGACATACAAAGGGGGCTGCTTAAATAAGTGTGGTCAGGGCTGGCTCTGAGTTGGTGACATTTAAGTTGCACAGTGAGCTTCAACAAGGGCCCTGGGGAGCATCGTTTCCCTGGAAGAGACAAAATCAAGACAGGGCAAAGTCCCTGGATGGGATGGGCTTGTGTTGTAGTGACTGAAACAAACACTGTGGTTGGGGTGTCTTGAATAAAGACAGGAAGACAGATAGGTCTCTGGAAGATCAGGGTGGACGGAAAAGCCCTTTGTTATTGGGGATGAAAGTCTTCTTTCCAGCTTTGGAGGTTGTAGAAAAGAGAACAACACAAGTAAAGATAGGTTAGAAAATATGATGTTTTTGTGAGGAATGGGAAGTAGTGAAGGAAAAACAGAATGAAAAGGAAATAAGCTTGAAAGGTTCAAGGAAGGCCTTGAAATTCAGAATAAAGGTTGGAGAAGATGACAGATTCCGTATCTCCAATGTACCCTACACTATGGTGGGGTATTACATTCAGATCCAAATTTTATTGGGCTGAGTAAGGCCATTGATTATTTCTAGGCAAGAAAGAGATTGAGGTGGGTGTGTTATGTTCCGAAAGTTTATGGAATGGGTTAGTAAATTTAAAGTAAGGAGCAGAGAGATTATTTGTCACTGTTCAAGTGAGAGGATATAATTAAACCTGGATAGTACCAGTGGGTTTATGTTTTGGAGATATTAACCAGATTTGGCACAGTTTTATGTGTGAGAGCATAGGGAAGGAGTATCAAAGATGACTTACTATTTTTAGTTTGGAAGGCTGGATGATAAGGTGATGGTATCACTGATGCACTGATAGAACTGATAAGAGTAAGGACTGCTAGAGGAGAAGCGCATTTCTGGAGAAAGAGAACAAGGGAGGAGCTAGGATGACTTGTTTGGACATGATGATTTGAAATGTGGGTGGAATATAGCTCTGTGAGGTTTGCTAGTATGGCACCAAAACAGACTAGCATTGTCATAAACAACTTTATGACAAAGTTATGAACCCTTGAGAGCAGATCATTTTGCCTCTTTTTCCAATTGCATTTTGAATTGTCCATGTGTGTCCCCTTCCTTACAGTGCTGTGATAGATATCCTGTTATTATTCACAATTTACAAACGGAGAAACTGAGACACAGAGATTAAACTTCTATTTCTTAGATGTTGAAATCTCCCAGATTGCTCTGCCTGTACAAGCTAATAAACTATTTCATTTTCAAGGAGTCTGGTTCAGTCTGGTTCCACAGTGTTTGCTTTTAGCCACTCTCTTATGCTGTCTCTTATTTTATTCATATGTGTTTAATTTCTTCACTTAGTACTTTGTCTTCTTAACCCTGTTTCAAATCTCAAATCTGGCCTTCCCTGACACATGGCTTCTTTTATATCTCCTCTGAGCAGAGACTACATCCTTTTCTTTCATTGTCATTTACTTACCTTCAAGTTTCTTCTGCATACACTATTTATTGATCATCAGGGAACTTGATTCATACCTTTCTGGTTCATCTCATTTTTGGCTATTATTCTGAAAGACTTTGGCATTTGAGGCACAGTACTGCACAAATGGTAAGAGCTGTGGTTCTTGAGCTGCAGTTTATGCCTGAATTTGATTCCCCTCTTGACAGCTTTGCATTGTGACATTGGCCAAGTTTATTCATCTGCACAAGTTTTATTTTCCTCCTCTGTACCTCCACAGAGGATTACTGTGAAGATCCCATGAGATAATCCATGTAATTACTAGTGCCTGGTACCTGTGGTGGTAGAATCAGTTTCACTAAGAAGAAGGAAGGGAATATAACCCACACAGAATGGATCTTTGTAAATACTGGACATTTCACAAATCATTTCACTGAATTCTCACGGTAGACTTATACATTAGCTATTATTGTTTCTGCTTTTGAAGAAGAGGACACAGAAGGTCAGTAATAAAGTATCTTGTTCCAAGTCATACAGAGAAAACTGAAATAACAGATTCCAGCCAGGGCTGCTTTACATGGGTGTGTTTGCTCCTGTCATTGCACTGTGTTGCTCCCCCGAATACCACACCCTGATCTTTCCTTGTTTGGGGGTTCAGGCATTGGGTGTATGTATGAGTTTATTTATGAATTCTGCACCTTTACTTTCTTCTGTATATCTGATTCTGCTAGCTGCTACAAATATGGTTGTGGCCTTTTTCTTACAGAGTTTGAGGTCTAGTGGGTAGATGAGCAAAAAATACCAAGTGATAGCAGTTATGGGAGTCCTTTGATGGATGGATAATGTAATTTAAAAACCAGGCCAAGAAGTATGAGAAGGCAAACAAAGCTTTAATTGGAAAGTCAGAGGAAATGGGGAAGGAACTTCAGCTTGAGAGGAAGAGCTGAAGAGGCAAGGCACTAACGGGAAAGATCAGGCTTGCCTATATGCTAGGAAAAGGGACAGCTTTTATTGGTCATCAAGGAACTTGATCCATACCTCTCCTCTTCAAATGATTTCTAGTTCACTCTCAAGTCTGGTCCTGTGAAGTGCTTCTAGAAAGTCCTTATTGCTTGAGAGGGCAATCAGGTTCCCATTAGATTATTCTCTTGCTTGGGAGTGGGGAACCTTATCATGCAGTGTTCTGTAGAGGCTTCGCTGAATACATGGTGATGACTGCAAGGTCAAGGCAGTGAGTGGACATGTTTAGACACTGCTCCCGGACATCTGGAACAGGGCATCTAAAAGCGGGCAGTTGACTGTCCTTGCAAATCTTGAGAATATCTCACTTACTCTTGTCTTAGTGTCCTCAGTCTTGAAGGGGGATATATTCACAGAAGGCAGTTTTTCTGTGGACCAGAGGTGGGGAGTGATTTGCAATGATTAAAGCACATTACATTTATTGTGTACTTTATTCCTATTATTATTAAGTAATATATAATGAAATAATTAGACAATTCATCATAATGTAGAATCAGTGGGAGCCCTGAGCTTGTTTTCTTCCAAGTAGATGGTCCCATCTGGGAGTGATGGAGAGAATGACACCTGAAGTGTATTGCTTATGTCCAGTCTACTCTGTAGTCATCTTTTGGCATGCCATCAGTTGCAGGTCATTTGTCACTTGCCACTCACTGGTAGAGTTTTGATATGAGCTGAAGCAATTGATTTATCATATCTATGTGCAATCAGACCTCCCTGCTAATGTTCATCTGTATTTGCAACTGCTCCCCAGCACTTGCGTCACCACCTCAGCTCCACTTTGGATCATCAGGCATTAGATTCTCATAAGGAGTGTGCAACCTAGATTCTCTGGATAGTCCACAGTAGGGTTTGCACCCCATGAGAATTTTATGCCACTGCTAATTTAACAGGAGGCAGAGCTCAGGTGGTAATGTGAGTGATGGGGAGTGGCTTTAAATACAGGTGAGGCTTCACTGTTCTCTGCAATGCACGTCCTGTCCTGGTTTGTGGCCTGGTTCCTAGTAGGCCACAGACCTGTATGCACTGTTCCATGTGTGAGGACCCCCGTACTGATAGACAAAAGACAATATCACTCTATGAAATGTATGAAATTTGAGAAAGTGGGAATGTCATTGTGATTAGGAGAAAAGTTTAAACCGTTACTGTCTAATGTAGGACAGTAAATAAATATTGTTTAAGGATATTTATAGAGAAGAATTTAAGGAAGTTATCTACTAAGTGGGCTATAATCTTAGCCTGAAGACAAATAAATTACAAAGTAATCATGGACATAAGGTATGAGTGTATATCTTTTAATGTGGATGATATAACAATACTTCCTGAATAAATTCCTGTTATTTCCATTAGATATGAGAATACAAACAGGCTATTATTCTGGGCACAGATGGCAATATGGCTTTTCTGATAGGGGAGTGCCAAGACCTGGAACCTGGTCATTCAGCACTATTGAAAGGATCAGAGAGATACAGATCTGAGACCAAATAGGAAGATAGATGGTGAGAGGGCCAGTGTGCCAGTGGATATGGGAAGGATTGAAGATGTAGGGAGACAGGTATTGGCTTGCAGAGATTCTTCTTAAGCAGTGAGGTAGTAGGAAGAAGGAGTGAGTCTGAAATATTTAGGCATAGGATTATGATGTCATAGGTCAGACACGTGGAGCTAGGCTGGGATAGGGAAGAAGTTGGGTGTCCAGGAAGAGGACGAATGATCAGTGTCCCTTTGAAAGAGGGTTGAAGGCAACAGCTGTGGCTGCTGTGACCGACACTGGAAATTAGACCTTGATGTTTGGAACACCCTGGTTACTGAAGAGCATGGACATTAGATGACCAGGATGAGCAACAGGTTAGGGTGACCACCACTGGGTAGATCAACCACTAAGCTGAGGATAGGGCTCTGGATCAAAATACTGAGGTGGGTGCCTGTGTGTGCTCTGAGTAGTGCTTTTGGAGAGGAGTTGACCTCAAGTTGTGGGATGACTGTGGACACTGGGCAACACCCACACTTCAGTCAAGCTCTAAAATCCTGATGTTTTGAACTGTAGCATGTGGGATTTTATCAGATAAAACCTTGTGGTACTATGAAGAAGAGTGTTAAGATCCAGACAGAGGACATAGGCAAAGTTCAGGTTCTAACAATGAATAGATGACATTTATTCACCACTCACTGTATCGGTCAGTGTTCTAAGTGCTTTATGTGTATTGCTCCATTTATTCCTCCCAAAATCTACTTAGAGAGATAGGTGTTGGGTCACAGAAATTCTTCTTAAGCAATTAGGCATGAAGAAGAAGTGAGTCTGACGTGTTTGGGCATGAGATTATGATGTTCTCCAAACACCAGCCATTCTGGGTACTAAACTTTATTGTTTATGAAACTTGACCATTTCTGTCAAAGGCATGTTAAACACATGCCACTGGTCATGTATATTCTTTGTGTCTTTGCTTCCTAACATCTGTCTAGGGTGTTTTCCCTTACTGTTCTCACTGTGATTCTCACAGGAACCTTTTCTAACTTTCCATAGCTCTTGTTGTTTACACACATTTAGTTGCTTGATTATATTATGTCTTCTTTTTTATTATTTGTTTATATATTGTTTAATATGTGTAAATTTTGCCTCATTGGCACACTTCTGGTGGTCTGTATTGCTTTTGTGTGTTCCACAGACCCAGCATCCTTATAAATCCAGTAAAATCACATGATTTATTCTCACTCTGGCTTTTCCTTGATTTCTGCCTGGATTTTAATTAATTTGTCATCAACTGTCAAAAAATGATTATTTTTATATATTTTACAAGGTATGAAATGATATGTCTTTTGTTTTCTACAGGGCAAACTCAGAAAATGAATCTTTTTCAAGCAGTAACAAGTGCCTTGGACAACTCATTAGCCAAAGATCCTACTGCAGGTAAGTTTCATTCTGCTTGATTAAGAGAGGTATTAATTCCAGAATGGAACATTTGCATGAAGTACAGTATTTGTCTGGAGTTCGATGGTTAACATTACATCTACTTGAATTTTAAAAAGATCTGATCAAATAATTAAGGGTAAGTGATCAGACTACACTATTTACCATTTTTAATGCATTTATTACTAATTAGTTATCATGTGTATCTATAGTAAGTTAGCTTTCATTGTATGTGTAGTCCTAATATTAACACCTTCTGGATTGAAAACTGATAATGCTGCGTTCTCCTTTTTTGCTGTCATTAAGAAAACAGAAAATACCACTTATGTAGATATTTATTTATAAAATGAAGTTTAAATTTCCATACATTTTTGATGTTTTTAAGTGTTGTCATTCATCTTGTAAGATTTATTTGGACAAGATACTTTTAGTATTGATAAATAATTTTTATAGGTGATTAAATGTTTATCTTATTAGATGATTGATATAAAAAGTTATCCTACTGTATCTAAATTTGGTTGGCTTTATTTAATATACATGTAGATACACTATATACTATATAATATACACTATAGGTACACTATATATATCCTTTTAAAAATTATACTATGGACTCCCCCTTGAGAAACCTTGTTTTAAGTGAAAATCAGATTATCTTTTTAGGAGGAAGTGAGAGCTAAGTGATTAGCCCTTACTTGTTTCAAATGCTATCTGAAAATGATGAAACTACATGAGTGAAGCATGGAGAAAGTTGAATTATCATCTTGAGATCTACAAACTGCTAGGTGCATTTGTGGGACTGGAGTTCAGCTCTATGAATACTCCCTATTTTATTTTTCTTGCTATACCATAAAGCTCCTCTAAATTTCCACTTACCATGTTCTTTCCCTTACTTACTATATGTCCTTTTTTAGTTATTTCCTTTCTGTTTCACACAGTCTAAGTTCTTTTGTTATTTGAGACTCTTCCCATAGCTTGGAATGCTCTTCTTTCAGCTCCTAGTTCGCTGACACTTACTGTGTACTCTGTATAAGAAATCACTAGCCTGAGAGCTTGGGGTGTGAGTTGTAGTTCTGGAGCTAGCTTTCTGACTTGGCAAGTCAGAATACTTTTGTAAAAAAATTCATCTTTATTAGTACATGTTTACATTACACAATGTTTAAATTCCTTGTGAGGAGTTGGTGCATGTACAGAACACATCTTAATTCCTTTTTTCACTCCCCGCCCTTTATCTTTTGGTCCCTTCCCTTTTGCAAAGATCTGTGTTCCTATTTCCTATTATCTATCTTTTATTTTGTTCTTTATTTATATTTTAAGTTTCTCATATAAGAGAGACCACACAATATTTAAGCTTGTGTGTCTGATTTATTTTACTTAACAACTATACCACTCCTGTAGCCACGCAGGAGTAACAGGATGAGATTCTGGATCGGTGGGTCTGTCTCAGCTGGAGTGATTTTAATGCTCTTTGCCTTCTGTGCTTTTAACAGTGTCTAGAGACACTTGGAGTTGTCACAGCTGTGTGTGTGATGGGGCATCTGTCAGCCAGTGGGTAGAGACCAGGGTTGCTGCTATATGTTTACAGTGTACAGGAAAGCCCTCACAACAAAAGAATTACACAATCCTTAATGTCAACAGTGTTGAAATGGAGAAACAGCGATCTAGATTTATGGTCCATTTCTGTTTTATGATTTAAAATGTATACATTTAAATTATTTATTTTTCATGGTAAGTATTATTTAGGGATTACTAAAGAAAATGTTGTCTTTAAATATTGTTTTTCAGTAATATTTGGTGAAGATGTTGCCTTTGGTGGAGTCTTCAGATGCACTGTTGGCTTGCGAGACAAATATGGTAAGTTAATATCTATATGAGCAGTATTCTTGTAGCATTTCTACTTTTAAAGATCTTGCAAAATATACCTGTTCAGCTTCCATATTCGCAATGAATGGATTTCTTTTCATTTCCATAGCTTCTGGTAAAGTCCTGTGGCAAAGATCTCTCCAAATGTATTTTAACCCCAGTGTCTTCTGATCTAGTTCAGATGATACATATTATAGATTACAAAATATTTTTTATTAATGCATTGTTTATCATGCCATTTATCTATTCAAGAACTTTGATGTCGCTTTGCTCCCTACCCTGGCCAATTTCAATTCTGTTATCTCCAGTTCAAGGTTCTGCCCGTTGGTCTCTGTTAGCAAATTTTGTCTTTTGTTGGAGAGAGAAAGAAAGAGGAAGAGAGATTTATTTTTAAAGGAATTGAGTCACATGACTTTGGGGCTGGTGAGTTTGTAGGGAACGTTGGCAGGCTGGAAACTCAGGGAGCAACTCTATGTTCCAGTCTTGAGGCCAAATTCTTTTTTGATTGGGAAACTTTAGTCTTTTCTCTTAAAACCCTAAATTGATTGGATGAGGCCTACTCATATTCACTATTCAGCCATAAAGAAGGATAAACTTGAGATATTTCAAGGTAAATGGATGCACCTAGAGATCATGCTCTTAAGTGAAAAAAATTAAACATACATGTGTAAGTATCGCCTTGTCTCTCTGGTGTGAGAAACTGAAAGTATAAATAAAGACCAAAATATATAATAGATATTGTGAAATAAGAAGAAAACGTTTAAAATTATATGGAGTATGGGATACTTTGTTAATAATTAAAATGTTTTAGGGTTGGGGATTTAGCTCGGTGGTTTCACTGCCTGCTGTGTAAGCGCAAGGACCTGAGTTCAATCCCCAGTACCAAAAAAAAAAAATGTTTTACACACAAAAAAATATTGTATTATTAGGAAATGAATTGAGAAATAGATTAGCAATTGAAAACATATTCTTTTAAGATCACAATACACAGTGTGTTTACCATTGCTATTCTCTAATTATTTTTGTTATGAAAAATTATTTTTCCATAAAACTGTTTTTATATTTTCTTTATTAATATCTACTTGTATTACATTAAACTTTTTTAAAAAGTTGCTGATTAAAAGTTAATCACATCTAAAAAACCCATACTTTCAGAGCAACATCTAGACCTGTGTTCCACCAAATAACTAGGCACCATGGTCTGGCCAAATGGACCTCAAATTCACAGACTCCTTCTTCCTGCTTCATCTCAGCTATTCTTTCTCTCTTTTGCCTGGCATGCTGGCATGTAATTGATTTCTATCTATGGTTTTATTCATTTTGGGCCACCCTGTAATACCTACCCCTCTGATTTGCAGTGTAAGGAATGTGTTTTTACACCTATTTACTACTAAGGATGCCTGTGAGGTGCTTTTGACATTTATTTTCTCTCTGTCTTATCTAGAAGTCAGCAAAGCAGTTAAGTTTGGAGTTAGGAAGACTTGATATTTCCATATCTTGTTACATTTGACCCTACCCTGTTGTGCTCATGTGTGCAAAGGGTAAGGGATGAGAGGCTTTAAGATTTTTTTTAGATTATTGTTTCTTTCCCTATTGCACTATCTCTGAGGTTATGTTGTATTTAAATACAGGACACCATAGCATGTTCCATCGTACTTACTGGAAATTTCTAGCTTGTTCTTTTGGCTTCTTGCTACAGTGAGTTGAGTTTCTGGATTCAGTCCCTCTGCTTCTTCATATCTGTGTTTTCAGCTGCTTAGTTTGGGATGATTGGGCAAAGACTTATCTATTCTGCTCATCGAGATTCCTATAAATGTTTACTTCTTTAAAAAAATTTAAAAACTTTCTACATTTGATTTCATCAAAAAAGAATGTATGTACAGTGTAGACAATTTGGGAAAAACAGAAAAGTAGAAAGGAAAAAATTAAAATTACTCATGTACTTCCAGAGATAACCTGGAGATAAACACTGTACATATATTGGTATGTATATTTCTGGACCATACTTGGATATATCAACTGATATTTATAATGCGGAATTATACTTTTGCAACTTAGTCTTTTCTCTGTCTGGTGTAACTGTTCTGCTGAGTAATTTTTAGCCATCACCATTCTTGCCTGGCTCGTGGTGGCATGCCGTATTCTTATGTAAGCTGGTGAGTCCTCTGCTGCTGTCTGCCCAAGTTCTCATCCATGGGACTCCGCTTGCTCTATAGCCATTCTGTCTGAGGCATTTTATCCGGGCCTCCTGCTGCTCATAAGCTGGTGATGTTTGAATTTCTAGCTCTAATCCTGACCTCTGGCTGCAGATCCATGTATTCACTATTCCAGTGCACATGTTCATTCATTGATCCATAGTCAGTTGAAATTTTGAGGGCTAAACTTATTACACCCACAAGCAGACCCATGCCTCTTGCTGCATTTCCTATTTTGATGAGTATGTCACCATCAATTTAGTTATGCAAGCCTGAAACCAGGTAGATTTTAGTGTCTTTCTTCTTTCTTACTCCCCACATCCAGTCCAGTCCTATAATTTTATCTTCAGTGTTTGTCTGTAATCTGGCCCCTCATTCCATTCTTACTGCCCCAGTTCTTCAAATCTTTAATTTTCTCTGCCGGATAAATTTTGTTTCCTTTTTTGGTAATCACTATTCTTTTGGTCTTACCCTACTTCAGGCCATTCCTTATCTAGTTGTCAGTGTTAGCATTGTAAGTGCACATTTCTTAGCAAGATATGCCAAAGACTGAAATTTACCTGACCTCATTCACTCTATTTTTCACAAATTTTGGATTAGGGATGCTTCTCTGTTCTCATTTGTTTTGCACACACTATCTGGACCTCTCACCCGAGTCTGATTACCTGGAAAACTCCTATTTCTCCTTCAGAAGATTTCTCTGTGAAGCTCTTCCTGGCCCTCCAAGCTGACTCAGGTATTATTGTTGTCACTGCTTAGATTTTTCATCTTGTAAGTTATATTCTAACTATCTCTCTGTCATATCTCCCATCAGACAGCTTTTCAAAGCCAACACATCTGTAAGACATCCATACATCCTTAATACCTTATACTGATTCTGACAGTTGTACTTACTAAATCAGCATTTTTGACTGAACTTAGCCTTTGTCTCTAACCAACAGTGACCTACTGCCTCAGAAAGGGGGTTTTCTTGATTCCTTATAATTATTTTGATTGGTCTGCTTTTTTGTTTTTCTTAAAAAAATAGGTTAAAAAGGGGAGAAACTTTCTTCAGAAAAAAGTTCAGTACTCGTAGAGGACTCTTACAGATTTGTTTTTACAAGGCAGAGAACTCAGCTAATTAATAGCTAATTAACTCTTTTAGCTTACTGTCAATAGCTGCTGTGAATTTTTACAATAACTTTAGGACTAAGAAATGAACCTTTTAATATGAATGACTCAATCAAGATGGACGCTTCAATCATGACTACTCTCTGACAGCAGTGAGCTTCTGTTTTCAAAAGTGAATTATAGTGATGTGTGTATATATACATATACATAGATAGATTCTCTTGCATATTTAAAAAAAGAAAAACAGGAACAAGAATCATACTTATTTTTATAATCTCAGGTCTTTGAAAATAGCTCAGGAATTTTGAGCTCTACAGGAGGATCTCTGCTTAGCATTCTGTTTTTAAGTTAAAGTAATTTGTATTTAGAAGAACTAATAAAGTATATTGATAGAGTTGCATAAATTGCATGAAATGACTTAGCGACAAAAACCTCTTCTGAGAGAACACCCGGCTTTCTGAGATGAGTCCTGAGCAGGAAGGGATCACCGCCAGTAGGTGGCAGTCTGTGCTTTGCGATGAGACCATTCCTGTTGCTACTGTGGAACCTGAACTGTCAGAAGGTATTTCATATTCCATCGGAAGATAGAATTTGCAGGATCTCAGGTTTACTGACATAATGACATGAAGCTGACTACTATTTAACTTTAAAAAGAAGGAATTGGATAATTAGAGCCAAAGCTATACAAAAAGAGAGACGGCTGTTTTGTCTTCGAGATGATCCAGAAGTGTGAGTATAGTGTCACTGAACGACTTCCTACTCATTCCCTTGTCCCTTGATAGAAGAAAATAACATGAATGCCTTGACAATGAAAATAAATACAATAGTATGTCCTCATTAACTCATTGCATATCAAATGGCAGCTTTATACTATTTAGGTATGAGATCTCTCTACAAGGAGAAACAGTTGGATCTAGGAGAATTCTAGGGAAGCAGGTGATGGGAGAAGACATTCAGGGTAGTTGTGTAGAGTATGTGTGATTTTATGTTGAATGCCACATGCATATACAGAGTGATCTCATGATTTTCAGACTCATGAGTGTGTTCTATTTCAATAAGCCTGGTGTGTCAGGTTCAATGTGTGTTTTTTACACTATTTTATATTGATAGAAATATACCTGGCTGTGGCTTTTAGAGTGTATTTGGGGCATGAAGTGGAGGAAAATTAGGTGAGAAAAGGAGCAGTAGAGGACTTGCTGAGTGAGTACAGGCCTGAACATCTGCCTTTTCATGGGCTTGATATTTTTCCATTACTATATTCATTCCTCCATACCACAAGTGAAATTATAACAGCAGATTGGGGAAACTAATATAACCACTTACTTGTTTTCTTATGTAAATATCACAAAAGTTGTATAATCAGATACTTTAATACACTGATGTCAGGAAGGCAAACTAGGACAAGCTTGTGAAAGAAGCAGATTTTCATCTATCATATGCTCATATTTTGGGAGTTGACTTTGGACCTCCATTTCTTCATCAGTAAAGTGCGGGAAAGGACAAGCTTATTCTTAGGGATATTTTACACGATTCCAGGTACTCTTTGTGGTCTGTCTTCCTTTTGAAAAGAAGAAAACACTTTCTTCATGCAGAAATTCCCTTTACATTTAGAGGTTTAAGAATATAACAATTATTATATCATCTTGGAACCATTGGGTACTTCATGAAACTTTATTTTTTTCTTAA